GAGGATGAGTTCAAGTGTCTTATATTTGTGTGCGGGTTGACGTCTCCTGAAGACAGACATAAGAACAAGAATCCTCAGCAAGATTGAGCAGAACCCAGATGTCACATTACAGAATATTACGTCGGAATGCCAGCGCCTGATGAACCTGAAGCGTGATACCGTCATGATACAAGAAAGTGCTCCCAGCAATACTGTTCATGCGATTTGGAAGCATACTGTCCTCAGGGTGACAAGAAACCACCCTCGGCATGCTGGAAATGTGGTGAGTGGCATTCCGTCAATTTTGTCCGTTCAAAAGACATCGCTGCAGCAGGTGCTCCCGTATGGGACACAAAGAAGATCGGTGTCACGGCGAGAGAAGGCAAGCACCCAGGAGGCATTCTCAAACTAGAACTTCAAATTCCAAGCTTCCGAAAGCTCGCGTTGGTCTGGTCGCTCATCAAAGCCCACACGCAAAAAGGAGGAAATACGTATCACTGCTTATTAACAGCAAACCTGTTCGTCACCAGCTAGACACGGCATCAGATATCACGATCATTTCAAAAAGAACTTGGAAATTTCTTGACAGCCCAGCATTAACCAGGACCAAACAAGTTGCACGCACTGCATCCGGAAGTTTGCTGAAACTCACTGGTGGGTTCGAATGTTCCATGACTCTTGATCGTATCAATGTAAGTGGCATTTGTCATGTGTCCGATCGTCCTGGATTGGATTTGTTAAGATTGGATTGACAAGCTAAACCTTTCAGACAGGCCACTGAATACTATCTGTTACAAGACAGGCGACGAAAGCGAACATAATCAAAAAGGTGCCTGACTCGTTTTGGAAGAGGAACTCAGAAAGTCGAAGCCCGTGCACTAAGCCCTTATCGTACCACCCTCAATCAAATGGCCAAGCCGAGAGATTTGTGGATACTTTTAAACGAGCACTGTTGAAATCTCGAGGGGAGGGACCAACGTACGATCTATTTCCAAAAGGGGGAAATGTCAGGGCGCGCCCAGACAGGAGAAAAAGTACATGTGCAGAGAGTGACGCATCCCCAAGGTCACTATCGGTACGACGCGTCCGGAAAGTAGGTGAGTTGGCGGCTCCCACCTAATATGGCTTAGCAACAGACGACCAGCGTAGTGGGCCTGAGAATGTTCACGACCGGAACACCACCATTGGCTGTATGGAGCGAACAAGTGAACGACCATATTTGGCCGTTTAGTCATCCTATATATTTACGCGGAGGCTCTGTACGTCTTTGTCCTGGCAATACAGTCGTGTCCCCAGTTCTCTGTCTTCTCCCTATCGCGTAGTCTGGTAGGCTCAGTGCAGGCGTAACCAATAGCTCGGCCACCGCACGATACAACAACTAACCTAGTACGAAAAACTCTATGACACTGTACTAGCGTCTACCATTATATCTAGATGGGTCGTACAGATACGCCAAAAGTGGCAACATGATAAGATATTCTCTCCGTGATCTCTCAAGGAAGAAGAGGTTAAAAACCACTGGGTTGGCCAATATCGGTAGGAATTCGTTTCTGTAAGCTTACAATTGTTTGACTGAGTTTGACGACAGAGGGTGGCCATTAGTGTAGTGAGGCCCCAGTCCGGGTGAAACGAGTTTGTAAGTGAAACCCACACTTTTAAAGCATTCGACAGGAAAGACTGACGTATTCGCTTGCATGAGCCTGGTAAAGAAGGAATACTGTGGAAGGCTTAACACCAGATAGACCCGTTGTTAGTTTCGACTCCAAATCATTCACGGGCGATTAGACCCTCGTGGACAAGTTTAGCCCATCAGAAGATGAATCCCAGAGCGCGGAACTCTCACGAACCGGTTTCAAAGGGACTCAACTTTTGAGAAATACTGTTTAACAAGACCGGTTGCCATGAGTGAAAACAGCATTGAAAAATATGCTCTCGATTTTTTAAAACAAAGAAAACAGCTTCGAAAAGTATTTTCGTAATCACATTTGTCGAATCTTCCAAAGAGGACAGTTGGAAAGAGTTGTTCGACACGTGTGTTTTGCGTTGTCGAAATTTACAGAATGAGTAGATTACAATAAGTTCAATGTGAATTGCACGTAGTAACACGACTTTTGCATTTGCCAGAGTGCCGAATTCGGTCCAAAACCTTAAGTCTGAGCATCAGTAGTTTGTGTGGGTTCCTCATCCGGGGGTGCATAATCAGCCAGTTCATGTATCCTCCACCCTTTGCCTGATGGTTCTGGACCAAAAGCAGTCTTTGATAAGATGGATTCAAAAATGTTCACATCCATGGAGCTGAGAAAAACTGAGGTTGACCGGGACATTGTGGATTGTTTTCCGTCAGTCTTTGATGAACTCAGACCAAGCCAGAACGGTACATTGGAAGGTGGACACGTGAGCAAGTTAGCCAACATCTTGTCCTGAGAACCTTCATAGCGCAGAAGAGGAATATGCACAAATTACGAGGATGAACGTTTAAGGTATCTGGCAACGACGAGCATTTGGGAGTACAGAGGTACCGGAAGTCGGATAAGCACGAAATGTGACATCAACCTTTGAATTAAATGGTCTGGTCTGGTCTGGTCTGCCGATTGCTGAGGTTTCTTTACCAGTAGACCTATGACAGCGTTTAATGCAAATAGTCCAAGGCATAAAAATAACAAAATTGCTTTCCCAGAGTTTCTGAAAGTCTATGTTAGGAATTTCTGGATAGCTTGAAGAATAAAATGCAAACCTCCGGACAAAAGGATCTCCAGTCTAGGTCTACGCTAAGGCCTAGATAAGTCAAGCTAAGAAGAACTTAGTGCATCCGGTGCATTTTCAGTACGGCAGTGAAGCATCGGTGTTGAACACTGATGTCATGCTGTCGATGATGATGATGATGATGTGCATTTTCAGTGCACATGGGTACTTATAACACCAATAATAAATTCAGGGACAATAAGAGCTAGTTTACAATCTCCGTGGCTACCTTAAATGCCCTTTTTGATATTATAACCAGTAATCATACAAAGATGCGTTCGGAAGATTAGAAGAATGCATTGCGATTATTGTGTACAGTGTCCTATTTGGAACGACTCTTAAAGACTGCCAACTACTTGGCTGTGGATCTACAAAAAGCTCGAAGGGTTTTGTCGGGCAAGTATGCATTCTATGAATCCCGCAACCATCCACAACGTGTTTTTGACAAAAAAAGAGGGAACATGAGAGATGAGTGCATAGAATGACAAGATTATATGATGATGAGTGTATCCTACCTTCGTAGGAAGTGCCAGCCTTGCTCAGCGGCCAACAACCAGTTAGGAGTGCTAGTGAGTGTCGAGTCCGCACTCGCTCGATCGGTAAACACCATGCAGGACAGTTGACCAGACGCAAACCGGTGGCGTGTCTCAAGGCATGGCTCTGGGTTCGTGTCCGCGACGCACGCACAATTTCGGTTGAGAGTAGACCCATTTTTTCAACGAGGTATGTGTGGAGCTCATTGAGTTCTTCTCTCGGTCGCAGTAAAACACCTAGACACAAGGAAATACACGAATCGATAGTTCTCAAAACAGGCTCTACAAGCCGACATACTGACTTCATAAATGAACAGGATATCAGGATATCACTATCACAATCCACGAGTTTTGCCAGACATACGGATTACAAATGAAGGTGTTTACCTCGTCCAGTGGTTATTCTACTGTGTAATTTGCTTATGACGTGTGCGTACAGCAGAAATGACAAAACCATAGGGAGCTTGCCTTCGAATAATGCGTTGTTCAGAGGAAAAAAATTAACCCATGTTCTGACAAACTACCATTAGTTATTACCCAAACCACATATACCCGCGTATGTATATGTCGCACCGCATGATCCAAGCAAAAACTGCCACTTATAAGAACCTACGATAATGATTTGCATCATATCAATAGTTTTGTAAGTAGCATGGGTGCAATTAAATTTCTATTTGAAATTGGACAAATTCCCAACCACATGACTGAACCAGTACAATTTAAGATTAAAGCCCAATTTTGAGCTGGGGTAAACGGCTGTCAAGCACGTTATTAGTTCTCAATGTGTCGGACAAGGCTTGTGCGAAAAAGGACTGAACAGGTGAGGGGCGTCAATAAACTACTGCACTTCATCCGTCCGGAATGGATGAAGCAATACGTAAGTTTGCAGTCTCGAAATACTAATAAGAATAATAATAATAATAATAATAATAATGACAAAAGCAAAAACCAAGACGACACCAAAATCTAAATCGAAAACATCAACCCACAACAAATCTAATTGTTTGTCTCACGATGACCGGATTATTTTTGAAGCGAACTTTACAGTGAGCGGGGATTTTGCTGATAATTGAGCCGCGACACGTCAACGACGGGTAGACTACACATATTTTTTCGAAATCGTTTATCATCAGTAGTCTTGATACATTCGAAGTTAAGCTACATCTACTGTTCATCAACCTCTGGATAGGCTTCCCCTCCTAACAACTTAATTTGCGTGCATTCGGATGGTGTTTCAACCTCAGCTCTCTTCCTTGTACCTCAACCACCTTGGTGCGACCATGGGAGTACTTCACATATGCCAGAGCATTTCACACGACTAGCCTCCGGGATATTTCACAGAGTAGTGCTCCTATATGTTTACTCTGGTGCACTATTGGGTAGTTCGCATTGATTGTGCTTACCAGTTGTCAGTAACACCCGAGTGAGATCTCAATGTTCGATCCCATGGAGACATCATTTAAGTGTCACTCACCTACTGCTTTTGGATGAGTATCATAGCCACCTGCTCATGTGCTCGTCATAATCGTTTGTTTAGTGCACATTGAAACTTATGTCGAATGGATCAACACGAACCCCCCCCCCAGAAATACCAAAGAAATAGCAGATTCTGGAAATTAACTTCATCAAGCGACGGAGAGAACTGTGGCTTATTTCAGGCGGCAGGGTAAATTCCTTAAACTGGGTGATGAGGTGTTAAACAATGGGGGCTGATGTGCAGGAGATATGTCTAACTTATTGTCGGAAAACCGATTTACGGAATTGGGGAAACACACGGACTGCTTTGATAGAGCTTTTTAAACCATCCTACACATCAGTCGTAAATAGATTATAAAATTACAGGGCCAATGGTGTAGACGGTGGCTCCACACGACTGCGATGGGAGATAGCACGCAGCTAACATAAAGTACCATACTTCTGACTAATACGTACCACACTTCATGTTTTCAACCAAAAGGCGACATTATTAGGTGGGCCACTATGCCAGTCGTTAAGGTATACAGTTCGTGCCACTTGTAGCACATTTAACTATCATTAAGCATTTGGAATAGGAGTCACATTTGAGATTTGGATGGTCTATGTAGTGTGTAGAACACAAATATAATTGCAAGCACCACGTTTAATTGTTAGGCAGGGTGACTGGTTAGGGAAGCCTGTAGTGATTATGAGTTCCTAAACAACCAGGAAATCAGTAATAGTACCCTAGGGTTTCACAGAATTATCTAAATGGGTCAACTGTTACAATAAATGTGCTAATCCTTTTGTTAGGTTTCATCGTCCGAACATAACCGGTTTCTGAAGTCCGACAGTAGGCAGCTTAGCATAGTCCATCGACCGAATAGCGTAACCATGATTAACCTTAGTACGTTTCAGAGACTAGTCGTAGTGAAGTAGGAATGGAATGAGGTTAGACGATGCAAAAGTGATTATGCCAAGAGCTTTGAGTTCAATTTATCGGTCAAACAACTAGTCATTTGTTACAGCTTTCCACTGCGATGCGACGGAGTAGAAGGTTGATACTCGCTTCCAGATATGCCTGCCACGGCATATAACTGGAGTCTTACGTAGGACACTCAGTATCGTAAGTCTGTAGTGAAAAGCCATGTGCGACCAGTAAGAATGCACTTTGATCCACTTAAAGAGGAGATAATGAGATCAGGGAAGGAAGTTTTGGAGACAGTGGTATGCATTGCGGATAGATTATGACTGTCATAATCTACCTATGTAAAGTAGGGAGGAGTACCATATGGAATACCGGCCCAGGTCACTATCAAGTCGCACATCGAGCTGATTTCTCAAGCCATTCTGCAGTTAATCCGTGTGATACATAATACAGCGAGGTCCGAATAATGTCAGTCTTCCACTAAAAACTTCATCCGAAGGGTGCGGAACAGCGTGCACTGTATGCAGAATGGTGATCGTTTTCGGTAGCCGACTTTGTGTAGCTTTTTCTTCCAAGTCTTGAAATCTTGTAAAATTGTTTTTTGTTTTCCATATGTGGAACTTTACTGGAACTTTACTGCCTAACAAGCACGGAATAAGCCTGAGGAGACTGAAATAAACCGCTGTGTGGAGGATGGATAAAAACAAGAACGCGAGCGAATTCAAGCGAAAACAAAACAAGTGGCACAGCATTCACTGTGATCTTAATAGGAATAACGACAGAAAAGCTCATGCAAAAAAGAGCCTACCCGGAAAACGATTTAGTAACGAGATACAGTCATTGCGCGGTAGCAGACTGCTAAGTTCATCCAAAGCATCCGTCACCACTGTACGCTTGCGACTTTCCGAAGTATGCGACGTCTCCAAAGTGTCACACGATGTTTGAACGGGAATACTACAACCCAAAAGCAGTCCGGGACACGCATACAGTAATCTGCTTGGTTGGCGAATGCCAACATGCGAAAGCGGATCGTATAGGTTGACCAACAGGCGATGGGGATTCAACAGTTCCAAAAGAAACTGACCGTGACTTGTCGAACGTGTGTTTTCTGTATAATGTTCTGAACGAAATAAAAGAGTGCCAATGCACCAGGTCATGGGAAGAGCTCAGATCAACAAATTAACTACCTTTTAGATAGATTGTTGCTTCAGAGCGTGGTACAATACCCTGGCATATGTGTACGTATTTCAGGTAACAGAAATGGTTCCTTTGTGGAAGAAAATAAACTGATTACTTGATATCTGTTCTAAATGAAACAAGGGGCGGCCCTAATGGGACACATTCAGTTGTAGAGTATCATACACGAGAGACTTAGTTCAAATCCGAGTCACCCCTTGGCAGCCACAAAATTCCCAAATGAGCCTTGGCCTTTCCATAAGTACATTTTGGTGTTCGAGTACGACAAGGGATGTCCAGGACGCAAGGCTAGTCTGAAACACTAATCTAGAGTGGGTCAAACGAGCAAAATGACGGTTTACATTCCACAAGTTTTCTGAACCAGATTAGACTGAGGAACGGACCAGATGACTCCAGTTTCAGAAATTTAATTTTCCAGATCATACGTCGGTCAGAACAACAAAGATGACGTGATTCATGCACAGAGTTGACTAGTGAGGAGCTAAGTCATATTGGGAATACATAGTCAGAAATACAATAACTTGTTTTCAAATCACCTAAAATATTTAGACCGACAGGAATACTTCTCATGGTAATTGCAGTACACGCATATGGCAACTTATGTAAACAAACGTTCAAAAAGTCGTGCTTTTTGAGAGACTGATAAAATCTTAGGATGGCATAAAATAAACAAAGCGTGAGTACAGCCACCGTAAAGCACTATGCTAGGGTACAGACTAGGAAAGTCACCATTTGCTAGGTTCTCACGAAACTACCCGATTGTGACAGTTTTTTCACGAATGGATCCAAACATAAGGAAACTCATGCGATTCCAAAACGTATGGCTCTTTAATGTAGGTACCTGAACAAAAGACGGATAACGTACACCAGGGGCTTGAAGTAACAAAACTAGACAAGGTGGTGATATCACTCCGAAGGATAGGGCAACCAGGTGACCGCTTGTGAACTGGAGTCTACCATGCATAATACAACACCCGACCGGTAGATCATAGGGAAATTCAAATAATAAAAAGGTGGAAACTGGCTGGTCCGTACCAAATCACCGATGACAAGAAAACGAAATCCTTATAGTCTATAAAAGAAGAGGATTAGCAGACAATGAAGAGAAACGGTATGCTTACTGGGTCCCAGAAAATCCATCAACTGCATCGAATTTCTTTTGGACACAATGAAGGCTTGAATCGACTGATTGCCGAGGCCTCAAAAAACTTCAGAACACGCGAGTTCTGATGGCTAAACAGAATGGTGAACGCTGGGGAAGATAAACCCGGTGACCTGTGACCGAAAGGTGTTGACCAATTGCTAACTGCGATTGCTTACGATCAGATACGAATGGTCCCCAGCCTTCGCCTGTTGCTAGGTTCTGGACTCAGAAACGTGACCTTTATTTCTGGTGTCGAGAAACGCAAAGGACTGTTCATGGCTATTCCATCAATTTCCCTGTCGATTCTGTGACTCTCTCAGTGCACAGAAGAATCAAACCCTTGAGAACTCCTCAGTGCAGCAACAAGTTGAGCACTCCTCGAGATACTTAGGTTATGCAGAAAATCGACGGTTTCACGTGGTGGAAGATTGGTGAACGGCAATTGTGCTTCTACTGGGCACGTGCATTTATCATACAGCAGCCTACGAAAAGCAAGCAGACCACTGTCCCCCATGTTGGAACGTTCTCCTCACGCGTACGCATAATTGGTATAGAATATACCTACCATTACAAAAGGATAAGATTGCGGGTTCGGATTATGCTGCTAACATGAATACGGTTGATTGCATGACAACCTAGGGAAGTACCAGAACGAGGTAAACAAAACGGATAGAGTCGTGCACACGAAACAGCACAAACCTAGCGTTTCGCGGCTGATCGAACACACGAAGCGTAAAATTTTTAGCACGCCTGGAAGAGTGAGATTCAAGTGTCGCTGTAATGGTTCAGTTAAGTGCTGTTGTAAAGGTTCCACCTCGGTCGAACTGGGGTGTGAAGCACTGGGCCAACGACCAAGTTGAGCTTCCGCAGCTGCAATCTCAACCAGCTCCCTCAGTTTGCACTGAAGGACACTGTTATGAAAATAGCGCTGTAATAACTCGTTTCCAACAGCTGATTCCTTGGACTGATCATAAGCGGTGGACTGTGCCATGTCACTCGATAGGCGGTTGCTAGCAGTCCGTCCGAGATAGGCCGTAGCTAGCAACATCTTGGTGAACTTCAAACTACGTAAACCGAAGCATCTGGGCACTACATTCATTGCCCTTTGACGCGACTGGCTGCAAGTGGAGAACAAAAACAGACTGAGTTAAACGGTGTAAAATACGTCCCCTACAATTCTACGCAGATAATCTGGTATGGGACCATCTGCGAATAATGGCAAAGTTCTGAAGTGGTGGTGTGGGTTCGATATACCACGTAAGTGAATGAATCCATATAAACACATTACATATTAGTAAATGAGGAATCCACAAGTGTAACTCAACAAAGCAAGAAAAGTAAAAGCGCACTAATGGTACACCTCACAATAGAAGTTGTTCATGGCCAGTGTGTACACATCATTTGGGATTCAAGTTACCATGTAAGTTTGGTTAATGAGATCCTGCCCGTCGCCAGTGTTTTGAAAAAATGTGGCTAAATGCGATTGTTGCTTACTTTGGTATCAGGAGTATAAAGTTCACGTGAAAATGCTTGTCTAATGGCGACGGAAGGGTTTTTGGTTAACTATGTCATTTACTTAGGAATTCGAAAGGGAGAAACATATGGGATCTATCCCATAAACGTTCAACAGTAAACGAAATGGCAGACGACGGTAAGAACCGACAACGGGATGTCAATAAGATATCCTATCTACATAGACCGAGTCCATCCATGAATGAGGTTGTGGTTAATTCAAGTTTAGCTGTTGCCCCGGTTTTGTTAGGGCGCGTTGGAAAAAACCTTCAACCAAGAATAAATCTGGACATGCCTGTTGAAAAACTTATTAGGTAGGGATTATGAATATCAGCTGCTTGTCATCATACACTGATAAATCACTGTCGCATATTTTATCTAACAAAAAGTTGCACCAAGTTAAGCATGAAGCAAACAAAACAGCTTATCTGTGTTAATCAACGGACAATCCCCGGATGAATTTGCTATTTCCGATGTTCTCCAACCTAAGATATCTCAAGATTTGCTATTGACTGTGATACCAGTGTTGTCAAGCATGTTTCAAAGTTGCAGCGATCATGAGCTGGGTAACGCCACATCTCGATAAGACGACCAGAGAGTGTCAAAATATTTAGTTGAAACAGCAAAGAAGCAGAAAGGTGCCTGTGTGCTACTGCAATGTATATGGACCAGTCACAATCCATAAACAAGAGGACAAGGAGCCTACGTTTCTCTTGGCTCTACTTAACGACCAAACTGGCATGAGAAATGGTGGGTGTCAAACTAAGTCCCCTGGCATAACTATTGGGTTTCTGAGATAAAAACATGGCATGGCCGGTTGGGCAAACATTTAACAAATTAGGGTAATTTCTCACACGATGTGTAGTATGAAAATCTTTGTTCAAATTATTCCACTGTCGAGTTCACCTGCTTGAGAGCTCAATAGTTGGGCGCACTATGTAGTTGGCGAATTCTGATCAATCTCCCCAAACTAACCCTGTTATTATCCTGTCAGGTAAGGCATCAATGGACTACACTTTCCAACATATGATACACAATTTTCTAATTTAAACCCAATTATTAAAGCAACACTTAAAGCGTTTAATAATCGCCAAAATAAATTTGCTCTAAAAGTTTCACCATCTTCATCTGCGTGATTTTGGCTTTTGTGTTACTCAGAATACATCCTCGAGGTTTACAGAGAAAAAGTCCTGCAATAACGTTTGATAGAAATTCTATTTCAGTACACAAAGTATATACACAAAGTACATGTGAATGAAGTTATCGTATCACCGGATGAGCTTCAAATCACCTAAACGCTTGGCAAGCAACCGTGCCCCTTCAAGTGCCGTTGGATCTTTCGTATTGGGCTTCAAAGCAAGCCTAATGGCCAGCACCGCCCATTCGGGGGCGAATGGATTTCCCGGTTGTTTATTTGTTGCGTCCAGAAGAGCCTCGAATGCTGCGGTGCAGGCGTTCTCGGGAAGACAGAGTGGGAATTTGTCTACGCGATGAGAGGCCAAAGAGATGGATAGCTTAGGATTGTGGTGCAATAATCCTGTGAGGCAGCGGATACAGTCTTGCTGGAAACCAATTGCTTGGCACAAGGAGAAAGCCGATGTTGGATGGATTGTGGGCTGTGATATAGGAGAATGAAAGTAAGAATAGGACTCTCACGGCTTTTTATAATCAAAATCCACCTCATTACCAAAAGTTTGCACCAGATGGTGAAAAAGACCAGTAGGACTGGAGAGGATTAAACAATCGCCTTTTAATGTACGGAGCGAATAAGAAATCATTAGAAAAACTATACAACAAGTCAAAACATATGACTGCCGTGATCCTCCTTGCTCACTGACAGCTCATTCGTTCTGATTTATGATACAGAAAAATTATAGCGTATTTTGGCGTACGAATTCATTTCATCATTGAACAGGACAAACAGGCTAAGTATTTAAAAGCAACCGTTGAACAATACAATCTCGCTATGCTAACGTGTCTTTTCGAGTCTAACCATGCTATGAGAAATTCGAGGTATGATCACAATTCCTAAAGGACCAAGCAATCTATTTTCTACAGTATGCTATGGTACTGAACAAAGGAAGTTACAGGGAATGCTGAAAACCAGACGCATGGCGATTGTATGCTAACTTACGCGTGCTCCGCTACTGCAGTAGTATGACTGATCCAAGGCATTGGAGCAAGGGAAGTTCTTTCTAAAGCACCTTCAACTTACCTGCCGCCTAGTCATGCGACCCTTGTCAAACCTAAGAGGTTCTTGTCCTTTCATTAAATGACTGCAGTCATTCCCGCTATAGGATAGACTGAAACTGCCTTTCAATAGCCTGGAGAAATCACGCCAGGGCTCAACTCACGCACAGCTTATTGGGAAATATTTAGGCAAAAATTCCTTAATTAAGACAATCATTTATTCCGCTGTAAAACTTGGCAGCCAAGGCGTACAGCCAAAGGTGTCGGCATAAGTTAGTGAATATCGTTCCAACATTAGGCAGCTTTTGTACAACATATTCGGCTGAAAACAAGGGATCTCGCAAACTAAATACACCAACTAAATAGGCAAATGAGTGTTTATCTCTAAAAATATTCGTTCTGCCATTCGTAAGCACCGCGGCCGTTAGTTTCAGTGTGCATCATATTCCTCCCAATCCGATTCACGTTTGCTCAGTATTTTGTAGTTCCAGGCAATTGTCGGATAAATGTCTCTTGAGGTCTTTACATTGTTATCGACCCTTGATACTGCGTGCTAAAGTTGATCGTGTTTATTTGTATGTTGCCTGAACGCCAACTAGAACGTCACCGTTAACATGATCAATTATCATGGTTTGAAAGTAATTTAGCTGGAAGCTCTGATACCGGTGGATCCAACGAGTGAAGGAACTGCGACCGTCCTCATTTGAAAACAACTCGACACCTGTAGATACGACATCCTATGTACGGTATAAACTGGGAGGTATCCGAATTCAGAAGTGTATCGCACCGAACCGCAGCTAATTCCGATTCGGAAAAATACTAGTCCGGTTTTGCAAACTTCGTTCAGTGCTGAAAACTTGCGGATGTAGGTGGATAGACCCAGAACAACCAATACTATAGTTCACAATGATAAGGAATTGATCTTGACGATAATGAGCATAGATGCATAGAATCAATGAAAAATATATTACAGTCTATTTTTGAAAAAAAGATGACGTCATGAACAATGGTTTCATCAATTGTACCTACGGTGAGCTAATTGGGTGATTCACGACTTCACGTGATTGGCCGAGCTGACGTGACAAAGTGTGACACCGATGTGTTATATACTAGACATTAAATCTAAATTTAAAAAATGAAATAACAGAGTGTGGCGGAATTCGATCAAACCGGCCCATAATCGCTTCGGAAGCTATGCGATAAACTCATTAAGAAATCTGGTTACCCAGGGGCAATCAGAAGAAACTAAAGTACACCTGTACGATAGAACAAAAAAACTTTGTCTACTGGAGTGTGTTTACCGAGCAGCCCATTCACCTAAAACTGGTGGTACTATGTGTACTCGTTAGTTATCTTGCGAATGAGTTTGTAAGTTGTTCAGAGAAACGGAAATGTTACTGAAAGCTGGTATGTTTCGCAGCAGAGAAAAATAGTTCAGAGGCTCTGAACCAAGCAATTGTCGTAGACTAATGATAGGGTGAGGAGATTTGGCAATGTTCAACCGAGATTTCGTTCTGTTAGTGAAGCAATTCTTGCTGAAGAGCCGAGAAGCGCCGTACAGTTGTTTCATTCTCATTGGGAATCATCAGCAGTGCGCATCTTACGAAAATCAAAGTTCAAAACCCTCGGTCTTTCGCCTAGTGGTTGGACAATTAATCGTTCGGCGACGAGCGGCTGAACAGCGGTGATTAGCTCTCTAAGAGAGGTGCGCATTGCTGATGATTCCAAATAGGGATGAAATAGCTGTAAAGTGCTCATATCCCTTTAAACGTAGATTGGCTTCACTGACAGAACAGAATCTTGGTTTAAAATCGCCGTAAAGAGAAGTGATCCACTGATGGGGTTGGGTAGTGGGTACCTGACTGAGGGGCTGGCGTCCCATTCAGATTTTCCAGTCAACCACGGATTAACCACAGAAAGCCTTCATGTACACACATTCTATACTGGGTAGACACATGGTAGCACAGAACCGATGGTGACAGTCGACTTAATGAGCGATGTGAAATGGAGCAGTAGTTTTTATCTGGAACAGTTAATGAAGTGAATAGCCTGTCAACTTACCAAAACCTCAGCTATGCGTGATGGGTAAACGGTGCACTTGGAACCCCCAACTGTCCTCACGGGATGTTGCTCTATCCATGAACTGGAAGCAGCAAAATGAACTTCCAAGTGCTTGGAGGTCACAATTAGCATAACAAGTAGGTCACATAAACAGTCCCACAGCTGTACACCTTGACCAGCCATGAGTGATTGAAAAGCATCTGATTCCTGTGAAAAACAGGAAATGGGAGTAGAGCTCCCGCTCAGAGGATCGGCATAACGTGTTTTGGAAAAAATCGCTTCGGCCAATACGTGCACGAGCCCTCGCAACTGAGCATAGGGAAATTCATGCTATTGGAAAAGAGCAAAAGGCATAAAATGGAAATCCAAATTAGACCAAACAAAACGGAGTGCATATACTATTGCACTCAATAATGTAAACGTTGATCAACCGTGTTTCTTGGGCCATTCAACACGGAATACAATTTACTGAATACAAGATATATGTGGCTTTACAGTCAATTCACAATAAAGGATAATCCATACGATTATAGTACTCGAAGTGTCCTGTGGAGTGAAAGATAGCTGAGTTGAACGGTGACTATAGACCATAGATGACAGGCCAGAACGTAGAAACAGAGATCCACATTATCAAACTTTCAGTTTGAGCTTCTGTATGAGTCTGTGATATGAAATGAACTAGCCCTTGCAATTTCTAATACTTATCTTCTGACAATACTGTAGAGGGAACAGATCAAACAAGCACTGACTGAGGACTTCAACCACATCTTTGAACAATCCGAAAAAGAAGCTTGGTGGCACTTGAGAGAACATGTGCGGTCATAAGCCTCCACGTTCATTGTCCAAAGTTCTATGTCATTTGTGGGTTCCAGATGAGTGGCAGCTGGAGACCAGTTTCATTGCTGTTCGAAGTATTTGGACCAACGGTCGAGGCGTTCTTCCTTATTCAACATGATCGTTCCATTCTGAATGTTGGTGGTTTTGCTCACAGGTTGTTTCCGAAGACGAGTCGCACGGATCAACCGAAATAACCTTTGGGCATTCCCGGCTTTTTGGGCCTCTTCCATTTCCTTGGTATTCCGTGTTCGCTAGACTTCACGGACAGCTCGACCACTTACTTACAATCGACGTCTAACGATTTTTCGGGTCAAATTATGTTAGAGGAACCGGTGGGGATATTTCGCTTTAAAAACTACCACAGTTTGGTTTGATATCCACTGCTTCGGTGGGCCTGTTACCTCCGTGTCACAAGCAGAAAGGTGGCGATCTTCTTCCAGTACAAATTCACATCTGATGGTGGAACAGTTAGAAGAGACTCCAGATAAAAATTCTGATAAATTTGCCTAGCATCCGGACCTGCCAGTCTCTCGGTTGCTAAGCAATTTGTCCGAACCTTATGCGGCCCTGGAAAACGAGGGGAAAAGTGACTCCGGACAAGCGCGTTATCGGAATCCACAAATGCGTTCAAAAACGAGCAGCAGCCGGTCATTGGTTCGGTAACTGATGACAATATGATCAATGTGAGTTTGTGGCCAGCATGCCGCTGGAGGACACCATGTGGCCAGATGATTTCCGCTATTTCCGAAGTGGTGCTGCACAGCTCAAGAAATCGTTCGTCAACGTCAACACCTACCGAGTTCAACCCGTTACAGCCACATAATCGAATATCAAATGCGCTAGCCCGCCCATTTGTGCACTTAGATCTCCGGCAACCGGAATGACGCCTGAGCTCTCAGTTAGCCGCAACGGGGCATTAAGGGTGTCATGAAACATGTCTTTGATGGTGGCAGAGCTACAATAAGTTGAAGCAGACACGACAGACGTGGATCAACTTCCCGCTTGTGTGACTCCTTCAATCAAGGATCCTACCGCCCGGACGATAGCAACCCCTGCACAGCCTGTCACCGCAGCCTCTGGACTGCCATAGGTTCGCAGCCGGAAGTTAGCGCAGAGTGATAGGACGGTTACTTCAATCATTGTTCTGGCATCTTGGATTTTTGTTTCTGATATAGGATACATCAATGACAAGTGAGTCCAGTGTCAGAGAAAGAGCAGCCTGTCTTAATTACTTTATATAGGAGACTTGAGCGTAGAACCAAATGCCCCATGCACTGAGTGATGTCCTTAGTGTGTCCGATGATTCCACACTTGAAGCGGACTTAGATAAGAAAGAGAATGACATAGCTTTTCACAGTAAACTACGTGCGACAGAAATAAGCATGAACCAATGTTGAAAGTAACCCAGCCTGAATTATATAAAGGTTTGTGTCATCGAGAGCGACACTTGTGCTTTACTGCCGTGCAACCATGTTCACTTGATTAAAGCCCTATATTCGAAACAATAATGAGACAGGGAAAAGGTCCTTAGAGCTAGCCTATCACTTACATCCAAGGTTCCAACAAATCGAACAATTAGTCAGATTAGCTGAATAAAAAGTGACTGAATTCCATTGATATCTCATTCACCGCCATATCTTTCAACGTTTCCAACCAAGTACATAGAGAGTCATTTGGACCTTTCGCGTGGTAGGTAAACGTCACAGTTTACACTATGGGTAACGGGAGGAAAACGAATCCATTAAACAAGTCGGTCATGCGAATTCGGGATTAGTTTGCCTGGACATAAAGTCATTTTCGTATCTTTTCTCAAGAAATGATTGATGTTTTGTGATTGAATTGCAACCTCATGAAACGCTGCAATAGACTATATGTTAGAACGGCAGTAAATCGAAAAGTACGTCACAAAGAAATAATATATTGTTGTGTTAGACTCACATCCTGTGGATCATCAGCAGTGATCACAGCTGTGGTTAGAGCTTGGAACCACGAATCATAGGATAACTTCAGTTTCTGAGACAAATAGTCAAGAATAACACCCATAGTGGCAGCCGTCTGGTCGCTTTCTTGGAGAAAGGCATGCCAAAACAAGAGACAGGCAGGTAAAGTATGTGGAAGAGACACTACTCTGCCACTATTTGTCTGTGATTGTTGGAATTCAGCTTGCGCAGCCCGCTGTCGCAGCCACAAGACAATACCCGTACTTTGAAGGACATCGTCTAGCGAAACGGAGCTGCTCCTCTGGTCAGGCTCCCGGCACGGATAATTATCTAGCGTATCCGCAACTTGATGAAGCAATAGTTGAACATGCAAGCGCGTATTCCTCAAAAAACCTTCCTGAATCACTAGCACATGGCTCGATAAGTGGCACAGAGAGCTAAACACTAGTGGCTCATGAATCAATTTTGTGCAGACGAGATTCTTGACAGAGTCTGACAGTCCAACTTGATGAAATGCACGGAGAAGAGAATAAAGTAAGTAACTGGAGTAGCTGATTATTCGATGGCGCTGTTCTTCTGTTACAGATTGGAACGAATGAAGAATTGTTTGCGTGAGTAACAATCGCGTCCTCGATCCGGAGAGCACAACGGCGGTTAAGGACATCAAAGTGGTCGAAGGGTATTCAATATCCAGCGTTTGAAATGCGGCCAAAGTGTTCGACAAACATTGGAGACTAATGGACAGTGCAAGTGCAGCTGAAGACTGAATAGAGGCATCGACAGACAACCAATGCACGGATACTTGTTTGCCCTTGAATAACACCAATAATAAAGCATCCAAGAAATTCGTTACGGTGGTCAAGGTAAGAGTTAACGCTTCGGTTGTTTCACCGCGTTCCTCGCCTAGTGTACACAGAGAGGCACCAAGCTGGCGTACAGTTCGTAAGGCATCCAGTAGATGGCAATCGGGAGCGAAACTTTTCTTTAGTGTATGTGGTTCTGGCTCATCTGAGGCAGCGCAGTGTACAAATGAACTGGCAACCTGCTTCAGGTAGGTTAGCAGATCCTTCAATGTCTGCCACCTCGATGTTGGATCCTAAAACAAGAAGGAACAGACGTGAGTAATCAGATGAGTGACACTGCAACGGTATTATATACCGAAAGACAAAAACATCAACGAAAATTAGGGATTTGAGTGACCGGAAATGATAGGCTGTTTACGAATTACAGCGTTAAGCCTATAGATAAGGAACCACACACCCAACGTGACTGAAAAAGCTACCAATCGATTCAGGATAACAGAATGCTCGATGAATAAATCCAACCAAACAACTACTGAAAGTAGCAGCTAAGGATCTTGCTTTCTTTAAAACGAATTTGTTCATCTATACTGCCCTTTGTTGGCATACCTGTCAAACAACCAAAAGAAAGCACAACCTCTATGAAACTAGTAACTGCGAAGTAGGCGGTTCTTTGACATGTGAGTTACGTATCCTAGCCAGCATAACCTATGAGCAGATCATCCAGCACACCAAAGCTCCTCTTGCCCAAAACGACCTCAAGATTGCTAATCCGATGTTCCCGACAGATCATGCCAATGCCTCGGAGACAGACAAGCAAGCAGTGAGTTTTAGAACACAACCCTGCATAGAGATGACGCTTATGATTCATAGAGCAGTATGTGTTGCCCCGTGGTAGTGGATACTCCATCCTTGACAGCTAAACTGACCCCTTGCCGACGGTGTCAAGTGTTGGAAAAAATTGCCCCGACCTTCGCAACTCGAGAAGGGACGTTGTTTCTGGCCAATCTACGGAAACCTGTACAGCAGCCAAGGCAAATAAAATGATCTACCACATCAGCTAGCCGATCTGCAGGACGAAGCCTGAGTTTGATCCAGCCTCATCATATATATATATATATATATATATATATATATATATCGCTAATCAACACTCAGGAATCACATAAGCTAGCGCCCAATCAGCCAAACGCAACAGCGAAAAGTGGTCACTCAGTTTCAGGTGTCACAAGTCTCAATCACAGAAATGCGCCAGTACACCAGTCCAATAAAAAGAGAAATCAGTTTGTTAAAGCGCTCAACAATTACACATCTGGAACACGTTCAGACAACAGTACGGGTTTGGCTACACGTTATATGATGGAATGTTCACATTCCATCCTATACAAACTGTATATGGTGAAAAAGGCTACGAACACTAGGGGCTGAAGCCAGTTAATGGAAATGAATGTGCACACCAACGTGAAGATGTAGACATGATAACTCTCTTCGAACAGACCATTCGTCTAGAGAGGCCCAGTAGACTTTCCTGTCAGGCATGATCAAATGATTTATGCGAGGAGAGGATGTCTCGGCTGAGCGGATTATTGAGACGTGACTGGGGTGGAGGGTTAGCTTAAAACAGTTATCAAATGCCTTCAATAAACATAAACTTCAGAGAAAGTTGGTTGCCTGACGAACAGGAGATGACGAAGAATGAGAGTGAAGTAGGATTACTCCTCCGGATAGACTTTTCTTCAGGAGAAACCATATTCAGTTAGGCTACTACTGAATTTCAGAATACTGTTGACACCGAACCAAAGTTCAGGTCAGTTTTAGAAGATTCCGGTCTAATTTCCCACAGGAGAGACCCGAAGTTCTCCGATATCGCTTATCTGACGTGGAACTAAGTGTTGCTGCCCTCGAGTGTTGCTCGTTGCAAGTTCTACAAATCAAAAGATTGCTTCGTGCCCTTTTACCAGTTATTTAGTCCGATCTTTGGTCACATGTGCGGTATGGTGATGTACTAGGGACAAGGTTTTACTTGATATACCGTTTTCCCTGGTCTCATTTAAGATCAGTGGTACAGTGTTGCACGTGACTGATTAGTTTTAAAACTAAACGTTTAGGCTGATTTGAACAAACGCCATTTGCTAGCCGGCTAGGTGCTGAAAAACGGATGTGGCGAAGGAAAGTGCTGCAAACGCTGGCTAACGGTCAACTTCTTGTAATCGATAAAAATCAGCTAAGCGATACTACACAATGGTCTTCAAGGAATAAGGCCTTCCTTGGACTGAGGACTTGTACATCATGTTGTACGGTAACTAGACAACGCAAACAAAATTTTAGAACAATGCAGAATATGGAATGTGCAAATATCTATAAGTAACTATTTGATGGACTGAAATATAAAGGAGCAGTATTCAAACATTCGAGACAACATAGCGTCACATTTGCAGAGCTTTATCCCAGGAAGAACTCTTAACTTAAACCTTACCCGTATTTGACGGGGTAAATGCTCTAAATGCATTTAAAGGGCGAAGTGCGAAAGGTGGACATAATCGTCAAAAAGATTTAAAAGATACGCGAAATAAATTCGTTTGAACACCGATTTCGTTTACTGAGCCATGTTCCGATTGGGAAATTGCGAGGCGCGTGCATGTACTCTAGCGGCATTCACACGTATTGCATAGCCACACAGGCAATTAGGGTCTTGCATCGCAGCTATCACAACTTTCAACTCGTAGATTTCAAATCCACCGGAAACGCCATAGTCCTCTCTGTTGTTCCATTTCTTCCCTATACCTGATGAACAAATGAACAGCACTTTGAACAGACCCATCGCCTGTATATGGCTCACATTGGAAGACTGACATTAGTATGCTGGAGATGGTCTAACCTTTTTGATATTTTGGAGTTGCCATTTGAGATTTCGTCCTTAATGAAGCCAGTCTAGGCTGAAAAGCCAAGAGAAACTGTTTCATTCTTACTAGGAATCATCAGAAATGCGCACCTCATTTAAGTGGCCCTGAAACTTCATGAAACGCCCACTGCTGTTGTTTTCCAGTAGGGATGCAATAGCTGTATGGTGCTTACCGGCGTGTCAGCCTAGAATGGCCACCATTACAGGAAGAAATTCCCACTAAAAAGGTTTAACCTTTTCCGCGGTGCAGTAGACAACCGGTAGCGCTCTTGCGTTTCTTATCTGCGAAAACTTATGAATTAATAGTGCTGATACCAGACAAACGCTATGCCCACCTGGAATCCGTAAAACCCACCCACATCGCGCGCCAAGAGGTATTAATCGAAAGCGACAGCTCCGGGAGTTGCGACTTGATTATTTTCATGAATGACGATGACAACTACATAAATCTCATGTTGAAAGTTAGTTAGTTGAAAGTCAGTTATGGCAAGGCACAGGTACATTTGTTGTTCCTCTCAAAAGGTTCAGTAAACCATCGGATACGCTGCAATAGTTGAACTCAGCAGTAACCAGATTTTTATACACAAAAGCAGGTCATTCCTCCTTAAAGAAAACATTCAGAAGACCCGTGAGAAACATTCTGTCGGACGAATTTCCCCAAGGGGGGAATTCGGTTCACTGTAGTAAGTCGAACGTGCATCCAGGATGATTCTAGGTGGCTCTTCCCAAGAAATGTCACCCTCCTGAAGAGTCCATGACAGTTTAGCCCGTCAGCCACCACCTTGTGTGTGTGTTCCCCCAATATCCCATTTTTCTGTTAAAGACTCGGAATTACAGTAACCATTATTCGGTCGTATATAAGTAGTATGGAAACTGCTTTGTTTCGCACAGACCTGTTCCACCAAAACTGATTAAGTACCAACATTCAATCTATCAAATGGGATTGGTCGCTGTTTCCAGTGCTGTAATTCTGGCCGAATTGATCAGCATCATAATCGTAGTTGCCTTCATTATACACTTAATTGACGAGGAATTTGCCCTAATCAACCTATGGTAGTTTGGTTACCCAGAAAACGTCTTCCAAAATTATTTGAAACTGTGGAAATTACCTCCTCACAGTGGGAGTGAAACTAAAAGGATCGAAAAAAACTACTGGTTGCTGTCCCGCCCCACCACCCTGATTGGGACTGAGTTTCAGTTTTTCCGTCAAGATAGTACGCATGGGTGAACAGAGTTCGCCAGAAGTAACATGCCTGAGATTCCACTTATCACAACCATCACTTGCAGTTGGACGATGATTATTTTCACCTCATCCAAAGTCAACCAACAATTCGGCTGTTTTGACCAGCCTCGTTCAGTCAGGCCTCGGAGTCAGGGTTGCCAACAGGGTCATTATGGCTAACTCAGACGATGGTGGTCGTGGTTGGATAACATGCACGTCGTGCTCACTTTATGGGTCTTTTACAACATTTACAGCAAAGGTAGTCGCTCTTCAATGTGAACTTTCGAAAAGTATATTCATCGGAAAACCACTGCACCGGGAATCGCACCTAATTCAAAGTTACCAAACGCGCAAACTGCTTGGTGGATGATTTTCCTGAGATCAACAATCGGTTAGACAAAATGCCATGTGACCAACCCACCTACGCCCATCGGTTGAGATCCAGTAAGAATGATTGGTGACTGCGCTCCACCGAAACGGAACATATCCTTGACAGAAGGCGGCTAATTCTCGAATGCTGGTTGAGTAATCCAATCCAACTGCAGTCCAACTGCCGAGCTCGGCGAACCGACCAACAACCAACATTAAGTAAAGGTCAGTGACCAATCAGGGGTCAGATCAACCGACTGAATCAACAGATGAGTACTTCAGAAACTAGGCAGAACGGGCCATGAGTTGTCACAATTCGGAAGGTTCTCTGAACGCGGAAAGTTCTAACCTGAGTCTTTTTTATTGACAACTTTGGATGCTTTCTATGACTGTTAACCAAGAAAGTGAGTAGCAGCGGTAAAAACATTTGCTAATTAAGTTCGCGCTGTTGGGAGACTCAACTGATATTCAAATGAATCTCCCGTGGTAGTGTCATGGAAGACTTTAGTTTTGATAGTAATCATAGCATAATAATAGTGATAGCAGTAGAAAGCTGACAGGTTCGTAGAGTAACTTTTAGCACGTCATTATCCGGAGAAATTTAAATAATCTGTATGGCTTTTTTCGCGATCCTTATGATTTCGAGCACACTAACTACTACCTCATACCGCTCTGCACACCCACTCCGGGCGGATAGAACTGTCAATGGTTCCTAGACAATGAATGCCGTTACAAATATATTTATGGAAGAATTAGAACAGAAAGCTTTAGGCGCATTCCCATACCCACCCAAGGTATTCTGGAGTTATGTGAATGAGGTTAGTGAAATAAGGTTAGTGAGTTTTACGACTATCTGAATTAGCTGAGTTCACACATCAAATTTAGTATGGAGATAGCGTCAACCTTGGGTACATTGGCATTCCAGACAGCATGATACAATAGGTTGGGGAGAAACTAAAGACCACAGTGTATGAGAAGCCAATCGACACTGGGGCATTTTTGAACTACTCGTCCGCCCATCCGAAGTCGGTATTCGCCAGTGTTGTCCCATCAATGTTTAAGCGTGGAAGGGCCCTGTGCACAGAAGAAGCTGATCGGTCAGCGGCCTAAACTGAAGTAAAGAACAAACTTCGGGGTAGTGGATATCCAGCTAGCTGGATTAGGCGTTAACTTCGAAGGGTGTTAGTACCGGTAACGAATCCCAACAAGGAATGGATCTGGATTGCTGTAAGTCCATATAAACCAGGGAAATCGGAGGTCATTCGAAGAATTCTAAACACGGCTAACATGATAGTAGCTTTCCAGAGAGGGGACACTGCGCTCTATACTGGTGCAACTGAAGGATCGCCTCCGGGCAAACAGAACCAAGGACTGTCTACAAAATTAAGTGTAACGATTGCACCAAAGCCCATACAGGACAGATGACCAGGGAACTACACATCAAAATCGGAGAGCACAGTAGAAAAATGAACAGGCCGCCAAGAAACGCAAATGAATATCAAGCGTTATTGAAAAACTCGGCAATCGCGTGTTGAGGTTTTGAGGCGAGGAGTACGGTCCACGTCACAGAGACTGACAGCCGAGGCAGTAGAAATCTCCAAGCATCCCAGTGTTAACAGAATAGAAGGCATGGAACTGGTATGCGCGTGGAGCACGGTTTTGGGTCAGTCGAGCCAACACGTGTTGGTGTTAGTAGTCATCATCTGGATTCCACTGGACCTTACCCACCCCCTCCCACCCCAACTAGATCGTCGCAACACTCACAATTACCCGAAGACCAAGGAAAATCTACTAGTGGCATCCGATGTGAAGCACCTTGAAGTGAAAGATTAAGGAACAAGAGCCGATCGGAAGTAATTTGAAACTCCTCCAACCCATCAATGACAGATATTGGCAACCACACTAGCCGACAAGAGCCGTTAATTGACACTCAACACTGATCTAGTGTGATAATCTGAAGAGGACTTACTGATTGAGTCCCCGTCTGCCTTAAAATCCGGCCAACTTGGTAACCTGTTCACTTGGCCTGATGAAGCTTTTGTGTCAAAAGCGAAACGTTGCCCAAATGAAAAGCTACCGACTGCTTATCAATCTCTTGTGAAATGAATCAAACCGTTTATATATACACGAAAAAGGAAACAGTGGTACACATATTACCCAAGTGGCTTAGCATCACATCAATCATAAGGGAGAACGTGTCCAGAAGTGAGAACTGTTATGAAACATCGTTTACTATACTTTTTACTCGTACAGATATCATGGATGACCAAATGAGAAAAAATTTCAAATGATACCATACAATCCGTAAAACTCGGGGGTACCAAAAGTTGGCAATTATCATAATACTTGACAATCGAATTGGTTGCCAAGCGTTTTCGTCTGTACAGACCTCAAAATGCTCTGTGTAGTGCTGACAATCGTTCAGGATCAACGCACGCGTATATCAAGAGAAGTGTACAGTTGACAAGATGCAAGAAATCATAGACAAACTTGCATCTACCAGATTACACCAGGGCTCTGGAAAGGGCAGAGAGAAGACCGGATGAGTACACAAAGTGGACAGAATCTGGCTGAAAGGGTGCAGAGGCAGGTGAATAAGTGGCAACCGAAAAATGGTTTTTATTGGAATGAATTACAGTAACTGTACAAGGCTGCCACAGAAACTAGCTTTACGTGTAGGTATACGGCTGGTGTTCGGTAAACGCACCGAACCGGTGATTACGGAAACCTGAGGGGAAGGAGTGGATATAAGACGATAATGAAATGATGTTGAGGGATCAAAATGTCAACTGCTTGGAAAAAACGTGCGCAAACAAGTGTGGACGTAAAGTTAATGAGAAGGGAGTGATTGAGCACAAAAATAAAGCATTACTTTGGAGGAAGGCTATCCACTAAACAGTCATTGTACCTAACGGGCTGCCTTTCGATTGTAGAACATTGGAAGTAAGGTGACGAATTCCGGGAGAATGTAGATTGTGTAGAAATAGAACAACCATCTGACGGGAAGAGTAGCAGGGTCCGTAGGAAGGTGATGATAGAGCAATGCTGAATTAATAGTGTGTACAAACTGTTCAGTCATCAGCAAGGTAGCCTTCAGTCTGAACAAATTCAGCTGAGCGGACCGGATTATCGAGTAAGCCTTTGCAATCGGAATGAACGGCTGGATTGAGACCGGATGACAGTCGAAGTCGTTTGGGTTCTGGCGCCTCTGATGATAGGTCGTCACTGCTGTAATCGGGCAGCTGTGCTTGATCCCATTTCTCGTGGGCTGTTGGTTTTTCGGATTCGGCTGCAGCGAATTCGGTTGGTTCTTCGGGATGTCGCAGTGTAGTCGGATGTGAGGATAGGCCCAATATGGCCCACAATTGACCGCCCTTCAGACCAGCGGTACTCTGTATAAACAGGATGCAAAGCGTGCGGGGCGTAGAATTGAAACACAAGAAATGATACGAGTTAGGTAGCGTCGGATGTAGCTTGGTTTGTGGCACACGAATTTACTCGCCTCTTGCAGGAACGGCTACGTAAACCATTTGCAGAGACCATAAAATTCACTTAGTCCCTTCAAATGCGACGACATCTTCCACAACGCAGGATACCATTACTGGACATATTACCTTAGGATCCAATAATACCATCCAGAAGTTAAATTAGAAAGCTATGAATATGCCAGCAGCGATAGAGTTTGATCGAAACGAGCAAACAGGTTGTTACTCACACTACCTGAGGAACAAGAAAGCTGCTGGTGGCACCGAAGCAACACAGCAATTAATTAACAAGAATCATCTGAATTCTAAGAAACATGTCTGGATTTCAGCAGCCAACCGTTTTGAAAGTCGTGAACTTGCAATGGGTTGCGAGCTCCACGACATCATCTGGCCTTGTTACATTACGGGCCTTTCCAGATGACTTATGAGACTGCAAACTAAATTTCGTCACTGAAGCCAGTGAACCAGTGAATTGGAAGTTGGTTTTGCATACCAGCGAAGTAACAGTCATGGTAACCAACATGGCAGACATACTGAAAAGTTACCGATGGTGACCGTAGAGCATCAGCCGTGGTATTTCCGGCCCCCAATCCAGGCATCAAACCCTGATAAGAAATCGAGGTCTTAAGATAATCCACAACCTTGAACAGCGTGACTGTCGTATTCCCTGGTGCTTGTCGAAGGCTTACTCCACTGAAGTAGTCCGCACTCAGGGCGCAACTAAAAATAAGAGTTGGTTTGGTTTAACATGTTCTAGATACGCCATTTATTACACCTCTTAACGGCAAAAAGGAAGTTGATAAAACTGAACTGAAGCAACAACAGTTGTAATGAAGGCTGATCACAAGTAAAGGCGACAATGGTCCTGTGACCACATCTACTGCAGACGATTGCAAGTTTGTTTTGACCACGTGGACGAGTAACCACTCGGATGCCACAATTGCTCGTTTGTAGCGAGGACAATATATGAACTGCGATCGGATAATGAAATTCTGACTTTCGGTTGCTCCAGAGAAAATTGTTCGAGTGAAGATGGAAAATGAAATCAGAGGAATTCCGGAGGAGGCACGCTAGAAGCTATCAAAGCTATCGCACCGGATAGGACTAAGGCGGATCACTCAGTGTGCCCACTTACCTCTGGAAGGAGCTCTACCGAGTTTGAGGTTTCTGGTGTGTTACATGAGGCGTTAACAGATGATGGAGAGTTGGATTCCGCGTAATAGGCATCACGATTCAACTGAGTCCAACAACTCTCAGAGTCCATACCATCAGTTTGAGGAAAATCGCCAGTGGTGGCTGCGCACTGAGGGACGTCCGCATCAGACTGCGGCTCGGGAGGCACTTCATCTGCGTCTAAATCAACGTCGAGCATAGCACCGAGACGAGATGCCCGGGCAAGAAGCGAGGGAATAAAGTCTTCTGACTGCGAAGTAACACTGAGCTCTGCCTGGAAGATCAACAAAATAAGACAAGTATAATGCACAAGAGAAAAAATGGACAGGGAAGCGGGGAGAAAATCGTTCAGGAAACCCACCTTTCTTTCACTGTCCACAGGGGTTTCCGGAGTGGACGACGACTCGGTAGTGGCAGGAGCGGTAAATGACAACGGGTGGGAGGGTGATACCGTAGATACACCAAGTATGCGCAACTGACGACTTCCAGTAGACGAAGGAACGCCCCCACTGGAGACTATATTGCTGCCCGGAGGTTGTGTAGAACTCACAGACGTGCCAACTTTCAAGGCAGCTGCAGCGGGAAGTGCAATATTCCGATTGGCAGCTTGGGAGGTGAAACAAAATAAATGGTCACTCTGTATACAATTCAGCGGTGCATGTTGGATTAAACAAACCCAGTATTTTGAAGATTTTCAAAATTCTGTCCGGTTTCTAACAATAAGAGCATGCTCCTTTAGCAAAAATACCAATGGTTTCTCCATTGAAACCGGAAGGACTTGTTGCAGACAGCACCTTCCGGGGGCATAGTTACATGCTGCTGTGTAGGTAGAGTGCGTTATGCTCCAATGTACAGGGGCGAGGTCAGTACCCTATCATTTAAGGTGTGTAAAGTGGGGAACAGGTGTTTACTAGAACGCCATGCGTGGCTCTCAACAAGTTTTATAAAACTGTTCGTTGAAGTTATTCCCTCGGTTTTACATCGGATTCACCAGCTCAGATGACTTGGACACATCGAACTCGGCGCACGACGTCAGCCCCACCCCTTCACCTCGGAAATCCGGCACCAAAATTCAGTTTATAGAATCACGGACAATAGAATCCAATACGCGTCCTCGGGATTCCAGACACTTAGGGCAAATACTCGTGGCGCTGAATTCAATCTGTTGCTACCACATCCGGTTGTGACTTCGGCCAGCAGTGGTAACGGAGTTCACTTGATCGTACATTCTGGATGGAGAGCGCGACTGGAGAGCATCGGAGGATTTTGCACATGTGCACAAGCCATGATTATTGCTCCTGTGGTGGATTTACTTGCCATTAGTGGTTTTCTTAAGATGATGAGGATCAACCGAAGTACTGCTACAAGCTGACTGGTCACGACAGATTCTTGAAAAATTTGAACCAGTGGTTACGAATGTCAGAAATCATGGACGAAAAGGAGATAGGAATATGCTGTTTATTATTCAGGTAGTTGCATACACAACTGCACCACAGTTGGCACGAACACACATTACACAGTCACAATAGCCATCCGTCAATCAATATTATAGACCTGACGTTTCGCTGCCGCAACCAAAGGCTGTCAACACAGACGAAATTCAACAGCCAAACCCTGAAGGTATCTCGTTAAGCATAACCTGACTCTAAGCACTGCGGAGAAAAGCCAACTCTTTCCTTGAGACATTTACGAGAATCCGTTTCAGCAGTAGCTGTATAGAGACCTCTAAGGGAGCAGGATAGGGAGCTATGATAATCAACTGATAGCCTAAATGGGGATTCACATTGGATAAACTACTGAGACCCGGAAAGACGCATCTGATGATAGTGAGGCTGCTGTCATAAAGGGAAAATCACCTGAAAAAACTATCGGTAGATGCTCATAAATGTGGATCCGCACCAAAATCGGCACTTGATCTTGAGATCGCTCACACTCAGTGCACGGAATCAAGGCCTGATCATATCCAACAATCAGTTTGGCAGACGAGATATTAGAAAATCTCGAGGAACGCTGAATAGCTCCTAACAGACTAAACTGGGGAACCGCCGGATAGTATGGGATAGCAGCTTTAGGTTTCGTATCGCTAGAATCGGGAAGTCTCTTTTCAACTATGAAAGTGAGCGGGTGACTTCGCCTTTGTTGAAACAGTAACATGGTGACCTTAACCCAGTACTTTATCAACACTAGTATTGGGGAGTACGGGAATAAGTTAACACGACACTGAATATTTAGCGTCATTTTAAGCGTACTTCAAGGGATTTGTCGAATATATCAATAAAAACTGTGGTAAATGTGTGGTTAGCTTCAAAAACCAGTCATCTGACCGGGTTGGAGAAACAGTTGAATTGTCAGCAACTGGTTAGAAAGAGGTATACATTTCAAAAAGGGAGAATAGCCGTTCGGGAAGAAAACCGTGAAAGCACGCATTCTGTGCAGTTTGCACAGAGTTTGACATACACATGTCAACACGATCCTCTGTAAGAGCGATAAACAGTTAGACGTCCGCCAGAAAGCGCTGTTTCACGATTAAAGAGATTTGGTCGGGATATCCAGAATCAGTAGCCTAGCATGTAGCGGATGATTTGACTAGCTCCAGCGGGATCAGATTCAATGAGCGTTGTTTTCTGGTTGTCAGGAACTTTGGTCGAGCAGCTAATCCAACGTGAAGTCAAAACACAATCAACTAGAGACCTAACTCAACCGGAAAACAGTATCGTGAACACAAACTTTTCAACCACCATACGAGTCAAGCTGATCAAGCAATCAAGTTAACGAGTTAAACGTAAATGTTGTTGGAAGATCCGCGGACTTTGGCCCTGCTACCGAATTACCTGAATTATAGGGTGAAACCGTATGCGCAAAAGCTATTGCTTATGGTGTGGTCAAATAGCCACCTACTGACACCTTACATATGAGAAGTGATTAAAAACAGATATGGGCTAATCCACAAGTGAAAGACCCATTGGCATGAATAGCTGAACATTGTGATCGCTCCTAAGGATTATGTGAATTCTGGACAGCCACCATTCAAAAAAGTGTAGGAATGTTTGGGAATATTACTGAATACTCACTCCTCTGAAAAACAACTACATTGTTGCTCGTGATGTTGTGCGATGACCCAGAGACTGAGGTCGAAGATGTGGAGGGAACAAACATACTAGTGTTTGGTGGGTAAACCAATCGCTTCGTCATTTGAGAGGTAGGAACATCGGATAGCTGATCGGATTTTGGTGGACCAGTGAGGAGCTGGTTTGTAGGAACAGTGACGAGAGAAGTCGAATGTTTCGGGAACGGAGAGGTAGACACGACTCGGGATGAGTCCGGACTAGGAATGAATACAGTGTTCACTCCTTGAATTCGATTGGGAGTGGACACCCCTGAAAAGTATATAGAAACGCAGCCGTTGTTTAAGGAAATAGTCCGAGAGACCGAAACATGAGTGATGTGAAATGCATAAGAAAACGGAAATGTTCGAAGAAAAATACGCACACACACAGCAGAGTACAACCGGCGATAACTAGAGTTACCTCACACCCAATATATAGAAGCTCAGAAAGAGTGAGGCCTTGAATCAAGGATACATGTTTATTCTTTTGTGCATAAACGTTATAATAACCACTGGATGATATAACAAGAAGATAAAGCCTGAAAGATGCCCATATTTCTCCTTAACCCTTCATTCGCAATACTAAGAACCACCTAATCCACATCATAAACATGGATGAATATCGATAAAATGAAAACGTAAAACGCATTGAAGGGACATCTTGTGAGTTATTGTATTTCGTATCCTTAAATTCTGTGCTTTCAGGTGTTGACAGTAAGTTGAATTTTAGGCAGTAGGCAGAAGATTCTCTGGGGATAACTGCAACCGGTAACTGTTTTCGCATCATCACATTACAGACGCAGTTCTCATGTAGGAAAGTCCATTTATGCGATAAAATAAAGGTTTCAAAACCTGTCGAAACAGGTTAATTTAACCCAGTGTGCCTGGTTGGGTAAGTAAATTGAGAATGCGGTTATATTAAGTCACCGAAGGGTCTGTCAATTCAGTCCGAAGTCATCCCGTTATAATACCCTATCGGTGCATTGTTACCACGTCGCCCGAAGAAAGCAAGAAGGCCGAAGTGCCTCCAGATTACCCAAGCCTAGAGAGAAGCAGTGGAGATGCCGACGTTGGGTAGAGTCTGACAGAGAATGTGGATCTGGCTTGCAAATCCACAACTCAGCTCTGGACCACCGTAGCAAACACTTTATTATAAGCTGATCCCAGTGCACCTGGTCCTGCTGGAATCGGTTGTTGAAGCTGCAGAAAAAATATGGCTAAGCATACGACATATCATTAGAAGGTTATGGCGGTCAGTTACCCGGGAAGCATGCTAATTCATGTCCCTTCCCATATGCCGTATAAGATTGCTGAGCACACAAACACACTTGCAAAAAACTACTTCTGATTCTAAATGACCCAGTCACTTTTAATCACGGAACATCACGTCGATTGGGAGGAGGTCACGCGCGAGGTGCAGACTAAACAAAAGTACGCCTTGATTAGTCAGAATATCAAACAAATAGGATCGAAAATAACAGCTTGGCGCTTCTTGCTCCCCCTCACTAATACGCTATTGCGACCTTGTGGAATATTCAGTGACGACTCCATAAAAAGACTTGTAAAGAACTTCGTTTACCCTCACAGAGGGTTGTCGCAAGCTACCGTGCCTTTTGACAGACTAGGACCGACATAGAAGTTGCGCCACCGTCAGCAAGTCACAACATAACGATGGAAAGATTATTGGGCCGATGTGTCCTGCTACCATCATAGGGTTAACTGAATCGGAAGGGTTGTCGCTAGGAGAGTAAACGAAAAAAATCCGGAGTCTGGAAACATTGAAGTAAGAGTCAAGCACTAACAAAACTCAACGGTTGTCAAGTCACAGAGTATCGAGGTTACGGCCGAATCACCTGCACTGAGCAATGTCGCTGAAAACTCGTACATAATACCAGGGTAAAAGTGTTAGGAAGAAAAAAAGACGGCAACTAAACTTACCGTGTAAACTTTGGACAGAAGATATAGTCGGACTCGGGGCCACGGAAAGTTGGCGAGTAACAGATTCAGGAGGGTCTGAAGTAGATCGCACCGCAGTCGAAGGGCGGGGAGGAGTGGCATGGAGGCGTGATCCAACGTTTGGAGATTTAAAACTATTTGTCTGGGGATATAGTGCACTAGGATATTTTCGTGCGAGGGTTGAGGGTGTGGGTCTGGTGGAGACGAACAGCGTGCCGACCGAACTACAGGGGATACGCTGATAGGCTGCAGTCGCTTCCTAAAACCATTAAAAATTTAAACATCAAACAGGTGAGAAAGAAATAGAGAGATATAGGAGCAGACAGTGAAGTGAACACAGCTGCTCATTGTATGAGACACAGTGAAGATTAGGGCATCTTTGCGGAAAATAAACCGTGTTTTGAGTACCCAAAGAAAAACAGTTTTTTTCAAATGTGTGCAGATTGTTGTGCTCAAATGAAGGCTTCGGACAGTACTTCCGATGCCTCGAACAACCCAAATCAACTGTAACATGGTACGTGCTTTATCAAGAATTAGACGCAGCAAGTGCATCCCTACCGTGGAGCATTATCGAGACAATAAACAACGGCGAGGGCCAACAAAAAGTGCCGCACCATATAGGAAACGTGGATCAATTTTTCATCAATGCTTTGGTGAAATTTTAGATATTCGTTACCGAAAATACGTGAACGGCATGTAACAAAGTAGCTTTCATGTGAAGCTTTATGACCGGCACTACATGCGGTCCATCCGTCCAGAGTTTCTATCAGGTGATACTGGTGAGATAAGAAAAATATGCACAATCCAGTTATCCAGTTCTGCTGTTTGAGCAGTGGTTCACAAACCTTATCAAAATTGGAATGCGTTTTCAGGTAGATGTGACCTACTCACATCAAGTAAAGCGTTGCATCTGGTCCACTAAAATTTGCAGTAGACTGCAACTCACTGCCAAGCAGTGATTACGTGGTCACCACCCAAAGGCCCATGTATGACGGTAAAGCGCCATGAACCCACTTACCGCCGCGAAAATACAGGTGCATCTGAGAACTGGGTGCAAAAATCCGATCGCACAAGTGAAACTTATCAGTGCTACTTATATATTGTCAGTAGTTGAAACAGAAAGTTACTAGACGAAGGACGAGGCCAAAAACCTGAACAGAAAGCTCCCGTGAATGTTGGATTCGTCCTGCGAATAAACATTCACGCCAGCGTGCGTATAATAAAACAGTGAAAAGAACGCTAAATAGTTCATTTATTCTGAAGGTAACGGTCCATATTCAGCGTACTTCAATAAAACAGGCAGGGGTGATGGTTCGATGTTCTCCAGACAAACAGGTCTTAATACTTCTCAGGGTCCATTATGAACTGCTGGCCACTTCCGGCAGCTCACACGAGTTGAGCTGTTGGAGGATTTTGTGACGGGAACGCTCCGTAAAACTGCTTACCGGATTATGTCAGGAGCATCATGCTGACCTATACAAAGGGATGGTGTTTAAAACACTGTCCACTTCATGTAGGTCGGGTTAGACCTTCTGGTACCATTCATTCAGGAAATACATCATGCCCTTTAATCAGGTCTATGGTTTGTCAACCAAAAGTGAGCAGTAGTTCGGGATGGATCCAGAGGAGCGACAAGACCAATTGGTCAGAAGACCTAACAGTCAACTTGTCACCAGATCAACAATTAACCTAGTACAATACTTTCCCTCTATTAAAAGTTGAATAAAAAAAGTAACATTTTCGGTCATACGGGAGATGAGATGCGAAAAGAGAAATATTTCATAACCATAAGCTGCACAGATGTCACCCAAACCAAACCAAAGTAGTTTATAAGAAGCTAAAGCCAGTTGTCTCTGACTGTTACCACACTACCCCGAATCTGACTATTTAAAGGGCTTGAAGTTCTTGTCTCCTACCTAATAATTAAATAGGTTAAACGTGGATAACGACGTGTCATGCGATAAGAAAACTGAGACATGTTTTCAAGGCGGATGCGGAACAAGTGCGCCTAAGAGCATTATCAAGGAGAGGGGCACCTAAAGAGGGAGAGTGTGGTAGCACGCTCCTCAACTAGGTCGTATTCACCTACCCTGTGTAAAACTGGCCAGAGCAACCTCTGTGGCGAGTCGCTAAGTTATACTCGATAGACCTGCGAAACCATGCTCATCCGATCACATGAGGGACGCAGATAGAATCGGTGCCTATCAAGTCCTTCAGCAGGGCTGAGACAGACTAGGCCCTAAACGCTGAAACCACCGTTCGCGGTTTTCACGGCTGATGATGAGGGACTGTAACTATAAATCTTGTCGCTATTCGGAGAACTCGGTTGAACACGAAAAAACCTATATGTAGGATTGAAACAAGGAAGACGATGGACATGGGCTCGGTCAATTTTCGGTAGGCTGATTTAGAACAATATTTTCTTTGTGCACATGGCGTCCACAGGAAATTCATACGGTTAACGGACTGCTCCCACGTAGTAGGACTTACAAGATATCCCTCATATAACTGGACCGGTTACGTAAATGGGACACTTAAATGCAAAAAAAAACAAAAGCACTGAGGCTTCGGCGAAAATCTGAATGTATCTCTACATGTGTCACATTGGTTGGTACTTTACTGACCACCTCGGGAAAACATCTACACAAGGATCATATAAGAGGAACCTTTCGATTTGGGGATGTCCTATCTCGTCCTGGTGGGCTCATCAACGATATATGGCGTAAGTGAGTACGCAACAATAAGGCACAACACCTACCGACCAGTGGAAAGAATCAGAGATGGTTCTACACACCTGCATGACCAACGATGTTTGTGGTCGCGTTACTTGAGGAGTTCCGGGTGGGGTTACGATAGCCGAGGCTTGTGGAACCGTTTTTCCTAAACTAGGTGTTTGAATTAGTTGACCAGAACCCATCGTTGGTTGCGCGACACGCAGTGTACCAGTGCCACCCGTGGAACTCGGGATGCGTTGATTGTCCGGAGGACTTGTGACAGTACCGGTTAAATGGGAGTATGAAGTTCGCCTATTTGTGGGAGTAGCAGCAGTGGATGGAGTATATACCACGTTGACTGCGCTCCATGTGGTTGTAGTCTCATACGGCACTGTTGCGGAAAAGCAACGCTTCCTCGGTGAATGAGCATTAATCACTGTTAGCGGGGGTGCACCCGGTTTGGCTGGTGAGGTTGAAACAAGATCAACCGGCTTGTAGGAATTGATATCTTTGTCAACCGTGCAATATGATGTGACTTCTTGAGGTGAACGATGTAAGACAGCACCCGTAAGCTGATGATTAGCATTGTCACCTCTAGAAGATTCTCTCTGTGTGCGAAGCGATACGGATTGTCCATGAGCGGGCATTGCGGATTGTATGTGACCATTCAAGATACCAGCCTGCAAATAAACCGGTCCGATTGAATCCGTCTCACACGTCACTTCGTACTCGACCCGAGGAACTAATCCTGAGATAGTTTCATCAACGTCCATTTGAACATGTGCAGGAGAACCCTGTAGGCTTCTTGTGGTTTCCGTAGCCTTATCGTAAGTAACGGTCTGCAACAGATGGGAAATCATCATCATCATAATTATCAACAGCATGACATCAGTGTTCAACACCGATGCTTTACAGATGGGAAAAATCAATGGCAATTAAGCTACTGGATATGCCACAAAAAACAACATTAAATTCCCTCCCAAAAAACGGACAACGGTGGCTGGAGGTTTAAGTGAAAACTCGCTAGAATCGTTCAACTGCATCATCCTTTCGGCGCATAACTTCTATGGCACCAGAAGTAACCACGAGGGTTGGGAAGTTAAAAGGGGAAGTCGAGAGGCAGAGATCGAGTTCGAACCACGGACCTACCGGTCAGTAAATCTGAGCCCTAACCACTGAGCCATCTCGCCCGAGAACGCACTAGGGTATGCATTGGACCCCATTCGAGCACCGACGTTATCAATAGCCTCCTAAAATAGTGACGAGTAGTCCAGGGGTGGATATAGATAAATATTCTATTTGAATAAGTGAAAATCAATCTTCATAATGAGTCCCCGTGTGACTGTTGCACAAATCTCTGTCCCGCCCACTTTTGAGCATCTGACCCCTTCATATACTTACGTTAGTACAGTAGTCAACACAAACGATAACAATATAAAGGATAACACAAGACAGGAGATGTTAAAGAGAATTTGAACCATACCAGCAGCCTTGGGTTATGCAGCAACCACCTTCACTGACCTTATATTATATTATTATTATATTACTATTGTACTAGCAGCAGCGATGTGTATAGTGATGCACTGTTGAAATTAATCGAAAAAGCGTAGAAGTATGCCCAGTCCATCGATAATTCTTTGCGTTACATTGCAACGGAAAGGACTAGAATAAATAAAACAACGATTGAAAAATCCACGAAGCAACTCGAAAACTAAAGACAAGTGGAATCCCTCCGTTCCTGTACAACACCGAGCTGTTTATGATGATAGTTGAGGAACTATCTCGTGTCGACAAACTACTGAATTACCAACTGCTCGGTGGCCCTACTTGCGATGAGCTTAAGTGGAACTGTAGTTTACACAAGCGATTCCCCTGGATATTTTAAATTTGCGAATTTTTTTTACTTATTTTTAGAGTTTGTTTTACTAGGTGCGGCCGCTGTTCCTGTGCTGCCAAACATAACTGCCCTAAATTAGGTAATAGTTTGTGAACATAAGTGCGAAGTTGGGATATCCCCCATAAGAGGCACAGCATAAATAGTGTTGCTGCAAAGTATTGTGGGACTTCGTCTTGTGGTCCTTTGGATGATAGGCCTAATATGAATGTCACTTGAGTGCATCCTCATCATAAGGGCATTCATTATGTCGTCTCCCTAATTTTTCGGCGTCTACATGTTTCTTCACAAAAAGTTCCTAGTACAACTTTCGCTGCAGCATATCTTCCTCGCCACCCGATATAGTCCACCGAACGCATCGTTCTCAAGGCCAATGCATCATATACATCCGGATCGTTTTTGGCTAGACAGGCATATATGTAATATGGTTCACCGCAGTATAACGTTACTGATTTGATTAATAAACCAATGAATGGAGCGATCGGCAAAAACTATGGATGCCTCGATGACATATCTTTGAGGGCGGCAAATACAGTGAACACGAGGGTCCTAAATGGTATGAACGAATAGTCAAGGACAAAGCCACATGGTACCAGTTTCGCCACACGGTATTCACTAAATATGAACCCCTGGCTTCAACTACTTAGTAACGGGATGACCAAGTCTTCTAGTTATTACCTCTTCAACACAGTCCCTTGATTCAAACCAATCCTATCCGATTTTGTGCAATCGCATGAGAACACCACCTACTGATGTCTTGATACGGTCAAGAACGCCGAAATACGCTCTACTTTTTCACTGACTGGGTAAGAACAAAAGGGTGGTGATTAAAAAATAATAAAGCGTTTCGACTAGCGGGCTTGCCACTAAGAGGATACTGAACCATTCCAATAATAAACCCATTGTAAGACGACTAAACTCTTGGTACATCTTAAACACTACGGTTGAAGTACAGCACAGTAGGACTACTCAACTGCAAATAAGCAAAGAAAATGCTCAAACTAAGTTCTGTGAGTACCTAGTTTGTTATTTCCGGCTACTGTGAGAGTTAATCACACTGCTGACCAGCCGCTCGTGGCCGAATGGTTAAGTGTTCAAACTACTAGCCAGGAGGTCGCGGGTTCGAGACTCTCCGGAGTTTCGTGAGATGCGCACTGCTGACGATTCCCAGTAGGGATAAAACAGCTGTTCAGTGCTTTTCGGCTTTTCAGAATAGACTGGCTTCACTTTCAGGACGAAATCTCCACAAAAAAGTGTTCTTTTAAGCCTAACGGCGTTTCTTGTGTTTAGGATTTTGAACCAAAGGCCTTAACTGAGGATTTTAACCATCCTCTGGTCTAGGCTTGAGTGCCAGCAGTATCCCCACCATCGGAGAAAAAGTAGCATGACAAAAAATACGATAACCTTGAAGCTAAAACCAGAACACCTTTAGTTTTTAGTGAAGTGGATAATATCGGGATGCTGTATAAAAAACCAGATCGGGACCGTAACAGCAACAAATGAGTAATATCTACCAGTTAAAATTAACTCACTTTAGAGGAAGGAGCTTTTGTTTGTGACAAGTCGAAAAGCCTATAGTTTCTTCGAATCCGCCCAAGCTGCGATTCGGATAAGGCGGTATCGGATGGGTGAGGAAGTCCAGAATTAAGTGTAGAATGTTCCTGGGATGCTTTGTTCGCTACATCTAGGTAGGCAGTTTCGGGACTGGGACGATGCAAAATGGGCACGATCCGTTTCCCCTCAGATATCCAATCATCACTGGCTTCTTTGCCACACAACCTAGGAACAGTCAGCGACAAAATTAAGGAATCGAACAAAACTCACGTTTCTGATATGGTTGCAAGCTCTTCATCGTTAACCACCCGTCGAACCTCGGCTTTGTGACGTTCAGTAGAAATACCGAAAAATCCTTGCAACTTGTGTAGAACTTTCCGCTTCTCATTTGTCAAGGCGCCCTGTGCTCTAAAAACGGCCACAATCCGACCGTACGCTTCCAATTCTAATCGCCGAAGGATTTGGTAACATTCCCGGCGACTATAATCCAATAGCATGGGCCATATTGGTCCATAATCTTTTGCTGCCTGTTCCACTCGCGACATTCGTGCTCAACTCCGTAAAACGAAACGCTGCGACCAAAACAAGTGGATGTGCCGTAAGGTTACTGCATGAATGGTCTACACTAAATGGGGACATGGAAGAATGAGGAGTTCCAACAACACATGAATAGAGATATTTTAAACTGCCCCATGGAGAATATACAGGACAACCGGTCTCCTGGTAACAATCATGGGCTGGAATTACTCTGAAATCACGCATTTGGTCTGTCGCGTTCCATTCTTTCTCAGTGGTTTAATGAGCTTAAAACGTTGAGTTCACGGCAAACTTAGTTGAGTATACGAGCTGCTAGGGGCTTCAAAGTCGAAAGAAAAAGAATACACGGATGAAAAAGGAACGCTGGAAAAAAAAGAGTGCTTTCCAGTGGTTATGATGGGTTGGACACAACCTTGTCGCTTGATAGAAAGGGGTCCGATAGCAAGAAAGAGGACCACGAAGACGAAAGAACACTTCAGTGTGACGACCGAAATGGATTCCAGAATCAAATCAATTGTTTGGTTACACATAATTACAGTGCATGCACTTACACAGTTCTACCCTCAATACGGAGTTCGGATGATCTGAACCACCGTATGTGCATGACCAGGATCGTCGCAACGCGTCAAGACACATTTTGTAAGAACAGTGTACCGAAAGTTGAAAGGGTCAAACAACAGAAACGATAAAAAGAAAATAAATACTTAATGAGTAAGAGCAAGTGATTTGATGCAACAGAGTCGATGGCTGCAACAACACAGAAGAAGCACATATCCTAGGCTGCACACTTGGATCCGCCGAACCAACTCCTTAAGTGGAAAAAACCATAAGCATGAAATAGCCGTTCAGCTGTAGCACCCTTTCGGTGCCATGCTTCCCGAAGGAAGCACAAGGTTTGAAGTACTATCAGGCTACCCAAGTGGAGAAGGGGTAGTAAAGATGCCATGTTTCGGTCCGAAAAACGAACTATGCTTCAACCACTGGATTATCTGCTGCGGGCAACTAACTTAATTGTGGATGAGCAAGCTTTTCAGATGTATCGAACTGCTGAGGACTCGGTCGATCAACTCTTCCCTCAGTGGAAGTGTACGAAATCTGACCTGTGTATGATGAAAGTTTCGTCTTCGTGATGTTAATTTCTGGTAAAGATGGAAGACAAACTGATCTGTGAGTTTGAGTATGGAGTTTTAGGTTGGTATGTCGTCACAAAACATGAATGTATAAGCAACGACTTGAATGATTTAAATTAATGGGATTCCAGGGTGATTAGCCAGTTGTCGTGTGTATCACCTGGTCGACAACAAGTTGCAATGGAACTGACTACTTTTACAGATTCCGGTATCAGTTCATCACGGATACGAAAATCAGCTGATAATCAGCGTAGGTATCGAAAACGAGAAGCCAGTCCTCCGGATATTCTTCTTTCGCCGGAATCCCAGGCAATAACTTGTGAAGAGGGTCACTTTTGCACATGCACGGTAGACTTTCGACGAGGTACCATCTTCGTCGGAAGTTTGTCTTTGATTCCTCTCCGAGACTCTTCCCCTGTGGGTGCCTCACAGTGAGTCTCGTATAGCAGGAGGGTTATGGTTGTTATGATATGCGATAGTGAAGAGTCTGGTGAAGTGTGACACCTACCTCTATACTTGCTTCCGTATCGGAAACCGTTTGTGATAGGTGAAATATAGGCAGAGCCAAGCATAAGTTCCGGTGGAATGGTGAAAGACGGAATCACTTTCAGAATTTAGAAAGCCAAGGCAGCCCTTGCCAACCTCCGACATTTGTGCTGCGAATGTGACATCAAATAGGCTATCAAGGGTAGGGTGAAATGCCAATGTCCTAAGTAAAAGCCGATGCGTGCGAGACACCTCTAGGGACTATGTGTTTGTCCATAGGTGCCTCCGGAAGATTTCGTGGGTCTGGTGGAAACAGCGATCAGTAATTCTGAGGTATGCCAGATGGTCCCGGACAAGTACAGCCTCCTTCGAAAGATCAACTGGTCAAACTCCACAGGTAACGCTGGTTAGACCATGTAGTCCATGTAGACCATGTGTCACAGGACGGTTTGTCTCATACAGCACTAAGACAGCGAAGAATTCATGTTGAACACTGATTTTATGCCTTTGATAATGATGATGACAACCACAGAGCACTCTTCGCACATCCTTGCATCGGATGGAGGTGACCGACAGGTAGTCAGTTCATGAACTGGCAACGAACCACGAAAGTTCTTACCGCAGGATGGAACAAACTGATGGATAGCAATCCCGAGATGTATGGCTGTATAATGCGGCCAATCGCGCCTACCCGACGGATTACTTTCTACTTGTAGGCCTATTAACAAGCGCTAACAAACTCATTCGTCTTTCATCAGTTTTGGCCGCAGCATTAGCGGACCAGTTGGTCAATGGGTAGAGGCCTGACAACAGAATTCTGATCCTCAAAGTTCGGGATTCGAACATGGGTGACAACTTGGACCGTTATGGCGGTCGTACACCAGCTACTGCTACCTTGCAGACAAAAGACTTGAACGGAAGATTTTAATTAACAACCCTAAACGTTCTTCCCTCTAGATCTGAGCATAATGGTAGGCTTAAAGCCTACGAACAACCGTGAGTTACACGGACAAGGATGACTTCACGTGACATCAGCTGTCCCATGGTAACATCGGCCGTGTCACGCCATTCTCTGCATAAAGAGGGGTCGATAGGCTGAAACATACAGTTGCCGAAACCTCCCAACTTTGATCGTTATTCTCCCCCAACCTTTCCTTCTGTCCCATTTGATAACCACTTCCGTAGACATCGGATATTTGCACGTCAGTCTGCCAATCAGGGAAGTGGTCAACTGCATACAACCGCTAATATTCGTCGCTCCATTTTTAACAATCAGACCGTAGTCATTATTTGCACGTCAGTCTGCCAATCAGGGAAGTGGTCAACTGCATACAACCGCTAATATTCGTCGCTCCATTTTTAACAATCAATCAGCGTCTTCCTATTATTATTATTATTATTATTATTATTATTATTATTATTATTATTATTATTATTATTATTATTATTATTATTATTATTATTATTATTATTATTATTATTATTATTATTATTATTATTATTATTATTATTATTATTATTATTATTATTATTATTATTATTATTATTATTATTATTATTATTATTATTATTATTATTATTATTATTATTATTATTATTATTATTATTATTATTATTATTATTATTATTATTATTATTATTATTATTATTATTATTATTATTATTATTATTATTATTATTATTATTATTATTATTATTATTATTATTATTATTATTATTATTATTATTATTATTATTATTATTATTATTATTATTATTATTATTATTATTATTATTATTATTATTATTATTATTATAGCCTTTATTGTCCGAACCTCCAAGTAGGCTGACCAATAAGCTAATCTTGGTCGCAATCATAACACCTTTCTATAGATGTCTACTGCATTTTTGAAACCCAAATACAAGATTCAAGAATAGCGATCGGGCTTAGGCACCTTCACTGTCTAGACGGTACATGCAACGAAATTCGGATGAGTTCTCAACTGCCGCAGTTGCCTGCATCGATCTTAATACGGCTCTCAGCTGCATAACTGAGACTTCCATGCTGGAATGGATGCCTGTAAAGTGTTCCTTCTATGCCTTTTGTATGTCCACTTCCGTAAGGACTCGAGCGAGTCGAAATAATAACAGATTTCGTTAAGAGTTCCTGCATACACACAAAACAACTTTAGCCCTGATTCTGTGGAATACACTTCGTATTAGGAAAAAA